CAACCAAAAAAAAAAGAAAAATTAAAAATTACGGAGGTGAAGTGGGTTTAGAGGAGGTTCCATTTTCAGGTGGTGGCGCCGATTTTTTCGCCGCCGTCGCCTGCTGCCGTTTCTGGGTCAAACTAGTTCTTCTCGGCGGTGGCGGTGGTACCACTTGTGAAGAACTCATTTTTTTTAATTTTTTAATTTATTGACAATCAAAATAAAAACACAAATCAAATTGGGGAAAATCAATCTAGGGTTCCAAGGTCAAATGTTTTTTTTTTCAAATTTGGGGATGAGAAGAGAAAGAAAGAGCTAGGGTTTATCTTTTTTTAAAAAAAAATTAAATTAAAATTTCTCTCTCCTTAGTTGTAAGTGGGACCCACTTTGAGTTTTTAATTCTGTCTTTGGTGAATTCAGATTTTCTCTCTCCTATTTTGCGCCAAAATAAATAATCTCGAATTTCGTGATTTTTTCCCACCCAAAATTATTAAAGTTCACTTCAAATCCAACGTTTTTTTACAAATAAACAATTTATTTATTTTTTGATTGGGTAACGTGGAGTTTAAGCTACCTTATAATAATGGGCCAAGTGGCCCAATTATGAGCCTGCAACGTGGGGGAAGAACATTCGAATATAATATGTCTGGCCCATATGTTGGCCCATATTGAAGTCCATAATGTTATGATTATAATTGTTCAGCCTTATTATGTTTGGGTTGAGTAATTGTAGTGTTGAGTTATGAACTTTTGATCCATAATGTCATCATTGTAGATTTGTCATCAAACTTTAGACAAAAGAGGGTCATGGATCTGAAACTTTTGATCATTGTGCTTGTTTGAATTGCTTGTGCTAGATGCTTCATGGATGCCTTTTTGAGTTTGATTTAGTGTTTGATCCTGTGCGATGAATCGGATTTTATTTTGGATGGATGGTCCTTGTTACTTTTTTATGTCAGATATATTAGTTGTTGGTTGGTTCACTTGACTTGTTTGATTAACTTACACAAGTATTATTAGCTATTTGTAAAATTTAATTCTATTTCTGCAAGTGTGATTGTGTCGTTTTTGTCATGTAGCTTTATTGATCAAAATTAAACTTACTGGCGTTCATATCAAAGTCTATCGTACATGTTCAAGTGACAACTTTAAACATTAGTACAAAACTAACTTCAAATCATCAATGACTATATTATCGAGTCATATAATTCATGAACACTAGGCCACTCTAGCTATCAACCATAGCTTTGATTTATGGACCATTTGGACCATCTATGACACAAAATTATACAAAGACTCATGGAAACACACGTACAAGTTAGACAAAAATTGGAGTGATGAGCTTCCTCAAGTCCCTAACCTCCACTCTATACAACTCACAAAGGTCCCAAGTATACCTTGGAAATTTGGAATGGATGACTCTATTATTGCTCCTCACCTGCCTCTTCAAATAATCCATTTTGCTACCGGCCATACATGTTTCCCACAATTCAACTTCAATTATGTGTGCAATATGCTCATATAATAAACACTTCATACTTTCTATATACTTCTTCTGTCTCTAAATGTTGTTCCTACTTTTAAAGAGCGGGGTTAATTAATATCTAAACGAAGGTGAATTTTTCTAAGCTATTATGATTAGTAGTTTTGTACCACATCATATGAATCCGTAATAGTATAATTTATGTATTGGAAAGTAAGAGTTATAATGATGAGTTGAGCTGCATGTTTGAACCTATTATTGTAACTTGATCTTGAATGAATTTATCTAAACTTAGTTTGTTCTCTTCACCTTGTCTTATAAACTTATTAGATCTTATTAGAATGTAATCAAACTACCTAAACACACATTCAAATTAGATCAAACCAAAGTTGTTACTAAAATATGTTCACTTATTACTAACCAAATTTTTATTTTCATATAAATGAAGATTATGAGAGTTACATAATTGAAAAGTACTCATCATTAAGACAAATTTTACAAAAATCAACTTGATATGACCATATCAGGTGATCTAAAAAAAAGTTAGTCAAAATATGATCAAAATTTAATAACTATTATTGTTTTATAACACCTTATTTCATATAAAGATTCAAAAACGAGTCATTACAAATTTCATAAGAAGCTAGTTTTGACGTACACCTCAATTACAAATGATTACATGTTACTACCAATACTTAAAAGTCAAATAAACACACACATACGTTGGTCATCACATATAGATATATTCATCATATATATGCAATATATACATTAATTTAATAATGACATGAATGAATGAATGTTGCATTCAGCAATAGTGAGAAAAATGTGACATGATTCTAAATAATTCCCATAAAATCAGCTTCTTATCCCCCAATTGATAGAACTTGGTGCAACGTGGGCCCAACGTGATAAGCACATCTGTCAAATTACTCCAGATCACACTCTATTATTTACCAATCAAACTAACCATCATTAACGAGCAATCAACACCCTTGTATGGCTTTTTCTATTAATAAAACAATATCAATGTCTATTAGTTTTGCCTTGTGATTATATACTGAGTATTTGGAATAGCTCATTAAAAACGAGTAATTAATACGATTATACATCAGTATGCATATAGAAAGTAATAAACTCGATATATTGTTAAATTTGTCTCATTATTGTATGATTTTAAATCTTTTTTATTATTATTATTTTAATTATTCGTAATTCAAATCCATCTTGGTGGGCAACATGCTCTCATACAATGCAAAGAGTGTTAGATTGATTGAATTGTTGTGAAAGTGCCTTCCGCTGTTTTTATTTTAATCACATAGCTTATAAATCGTTTGGATATACGCATTTAAAATTGTGTACGTGCAATCAAATTAAATGAGACCAAACACTAAATAACAAAGATTGTATATATATGATGCTAACTTGAAATAATGAAATGAACAAATTTTGAAAAAAGATCATGGACCATCAAAGTGGACCTTTACTATAAATATGAAAATAAGATGGTTATATAAAATAAAATGAATATAAATATAATTATGGATGCGTGCATGCAAGTCCTAATCAAATAATTTGTTCTCACCCTAAATTTAAATCATTACAAAAACATACTAACATAATGCATAAATGTGCATGTATGTACTCATGTGGTCTTTAACATGACCGACACATTTTATTTATTTATTTATTTAGATACCATGATTTATGCATCAATTAGATTTATTCAAAAAAAAAAAAAATGCATCAATTAGATGGAGCAAAAAGATTAGCAAGGAAGGAAAGCATATTAATTGATACCTTTGTAGGCTTTGTTTCATTTAAAGTAAAAGTTAGATTTGTGGCACTTTTGTTTAAGGTTGTTAATTATTACTTTTAGTGAAAAGTATTCCTTTAAACACCATACTCTTTATTTAGATTTGTTGTGTTGTTAATATGATATATAGATGAGATATTATACTAAACTATTTCATGCTTGTGAAGTCACAATTACTAAAGAAAGTATTAAAATAAGATCATAATTCAACTATGAGTAGCAAAAATGCTAACATAAAGTATTTTGAAAGTATAAACATTATTGATTTTTACATGAATTTTGACATTGTTTTTCTTTGCAAACTTAGTTAATCAATAATATTATAGTATTGAACTACAAAGTATAATTACACTAATTATGTTAACACCAACCATAGCTGTCCGAGTTAAGAAACATGGATAAAGAACAATTCGAAATTAAAGTGTATTGATCTAATATCCTCCACGTCTCTACTCCATGCAAATATATATATACATCCATAAAATTGTAACAAAAACACAAAAAGAAACAATGTGAAAAAACTTTAGAGATGCAAACCTACAAAATTCATGAAAGCTACCCCCAAAATGTCGGATTTAAATGTCTAAAACACGCACACACAAAAATCAAGGAGATAACTACATTTACTTATTAGATATCCAACCCATTTCTAATAGATAATCCGAATATTTTTAGAATTGTTGAGTTGAATGACACTACCTTTATTAGATGTGAGAGTGATTTTGAGGATATGCCAAACTACTTTAAATTTGTAAATTTGAATACAAATTTCAATTCGATCAAAAAATAGGATATTCAAGCCAATATACAATTGAGATTATGCAGCCGAGTCAAAAATTAATAAGGGTGGGTATGGCATTTTTTCATGATATTATTAATTTTATGCTTCTGAATTTTTCGATTTGAATCAAATCAGGTTTTCGATTCAAACATTTGGATACCCATACGATCTAACCATACCTCATTGGATTACTTATAGTAATCGAATGTTATGTATAGATTATTCGATATAATAACGTTATCCGTTTTTAATACGAGTACTAACTTTCTCTCTCTTCCATCACATTTATGCCCAACTTCCATGCTCATACACTCACATTGGTTGTCCTCCAATTTTGTGGGCATTGATTTTCCTTTCCTTCCATTTCACATGTGAGCCCCTGTCAATTAAAAAAAAAATTTAAAATTAAACTACATCTCTTTGTTGGACAAGTGGTGAAAATGTGAAATACCACTAAATGTCCACACTCAACTAATGGTCATGAACCATTTCTCACCAAAAGTACTACTTTTCTTTTTTTAAGTTTTATTTATTTTTCTATATATTTATGCCCACCTTAAATAGGCAACTATTGGCTATGCCTATACAACTATACTCTTATAATCTTATGCATAACCTTAAATAATTTACCAAATAGATAGACCAATTATTTTTTTTTTACAAAGAAAACACTCTCTATCATTGAGAAAAAACCACTCCAACCAACAATAGAAAATTTCAACAACCCACATTATTAGGCTTTACAATTTTAGGCACATAGTCAAGCTACTCTCTTGCTATATGACTACACAAATTTTGGCAAACATCAATGAAATTGAACAAGATGAGTTAAATCACATCTTCCAAGGGCGGGAATAAAGCCATACAATTTGAAAAACTTATGTTAGTACAATTTTTTCATTTTTTTTATGAATAGATCCCACTTTCCCCAATTTTTCCTCAAAAAAACCTAGATTGGAAAGAAAAATAATTGCACCAATAAAAGTCTATTCTTTCTCTCTTTCACTCTCAGCTCAGCTTCACATGTTCTTATATCTTTTCCTTCATCATTGAAACCCCACAAAACTCAAAAATAATCAAAATATTACTGTAATTAATATAATTTCAGCAATCCCAAACTCCCTTCACACTCTGACATTCTTCAGATCTTCAATTTTTTAATTTTTTGGGATTTGAGATTTACCCTTTTTAATTCACTAATTAAATTACTGATTTAAGCTTCTGGGTGTCTTTGTTTTAACCAAAGATTCAATCTTTTTGATATTCTAATTAGTGGGTATATCACATTTCTGCTTTATTTCTCCAGATTTCATTGATATTTTTTAATTAATTTTTTTTGAATGATTTTTGTGGGTCATGATCTCATCATAATTAACTTTCTCTATCCTCCCATCCCTTTCTTCTCCTCTTCTGTTTGTCACTGTAGGAAGAGAGATACTTTTGTAGGTAACAATCAAACCCCCTTTCTTCTAAATTTAATTTTTGAAGTAATTTTAAAGTTTTGAAATTTTCAGAATTTTGTTATTTTTTGGCAAATTTATGTAATTTTTCAGATTTCTGTCATCTATCATTGGAGGTTAGAACAGCTGAGAATTGAATTCCAAGCAAAGTTTTTAAATTTTCAAAAAACAAAAAAAAGAAAATTCAATTTTTGGTCTGACAAATTTCATTGTCAAACATCAATAGTTTGTTGGCAAGCACCAACCTTTTATATTTGTTTTTTAAAAAACTATCTTATCTAGTATAGTACGGTGATCCTTAAATTTGCACATTCTGAAGATTCTGAAATATTGCCCATCTTTTCAGGGTTGTTCAAAATATTGAAATTTGCTGATTTTTGGGGCAAAAAAATTGAATTGTAATTTTTGAAGAAATTTTGAAGGGTGATGAGGTGAAGTGGGATCAAGGTGAATCAATTGATGGACCGCCGGAGTTGGCTATGGAGGAGGAAGTCGTCGGACAAGAGTCCGGGGGCCGAGACCGATAGCTCGGTATCAGGATCAGGATCACTATCATCTCCTTCTGAGAGGTTTTCAGATGAACATCAGGTTTGTAAATGATCACATTGTGTTCAAGTCAATTCAAATCTTGGTTAATAAAAGTATGTCAATTTCAATTAGATTTATTTAATGCTAGTTTGCTTTGATCACAATGTGTTCTGCATCAGTTTAATTCAAATCTAACATACTATTGTCATAAGGATGGATTTATCAATGTGTATTGAATGCAGTTTGCTCATTCTTGTGACATTAATGAAAGTATAACTCATTGAATTATATTTTAGTAGTTTGTTTTTTTTTTTTTTTTTTTTAAACTTAGTAATATTTAGCTTGGAGCTTGAAAGGGGATATAAGATGGGTATCACATTCTATTTCAGATTAGGTAATTTTGTGAACATTAAAGTTGAATAAGATTCCAAGTGAAAATGCATCTTTTACTAACTTATTATTTGCCACTTTGGATTTTTGCTGATAGCTAGTATCAAACTAAAACAAAGAATTTTGCATAGATTTCATGTTCTGCTCTCCAAAATTATATAGAATTCATGTATTGTTCGCCAAGCCTGACTTGGTGGGTGAGAATGATCATATTGGTGCTTTTGAAGTGTATCCATACAAAGCAAGAGTTATTACATTGACGAAGTTGTGAGGACTATTTAAGATGAGACTAATACACCAGTACTCTATGCAAGAGTTATTACATTGGCAAAGTTGTGAGGACTATCTAAGATGAGACTATTGGTTTTGAATCTGGTATTGGAATAGTTTTCTTATTGAAGGCATATCTAAATAAAAATATGTAATTATGGCAATAGTTTACCTCGATTGAATGGTGTATTATATGCCGTGTGTCTTATGAAACTTTCTACATTATTCAAGGAATCTCCAAATCAAAATACACAATCACCAGAAGTTACCTCGAAAGTTGCACCACCTGATGAAGATGCCAATGATGGAGTGAAAATTTTGACTGAGAAGCTATCTGCTGCTATTGCAACTATCACTGCAAAGGAGGAATTGGTGAAGCAGCATTCCAAAGTTGCAGAGGAAGCTGTTACAGGTATATATCATGTTCTTTCTCCCCAAAATATATGTGCAGTCACATTTTTGCTTCCTGTAGCTCAGTACTCATTACTGTCTTTCTGTTATTGCTGCGAAACTATTCTCTTATGCTCTTCTTTGTGAATATTAAGGTTCGGAGCTCATAGAGCTTATACACATAAGAAAATTTCCTCTATCTTAATCTGCTGATTTTGTATTTGATTGAATCTTAGGTTGGGAAAAGGCTGAAAATGAGGTAGTCACTTTAAAGCAGCAACTTGATATTGCAACAAAGAAAAACTCGTCATTTGAGGATAGGGTAGTCCACCTTGATGGGGCTCTCAAGGAGTGCCTGAGGCAGTTGCGACAAGTGCGAGAAGAGAAAAATGAGAAGGTTCAGGAAGCCATTTCTAAGAAATCACAGGATGCAGAGGCCAAGTCTGAGCTGGACATTGAGATGTCTGATCTTCTTGCACAACTTGAAACTGCAAATGCTAAGGTGGAAGCTGCTGCCTCTTTGGAGTCCGATCTTCGCCTCAAATTGGGTTCTGTAGAGACAGAAAATGCTTCTTTGCGCCAGGAACTTAATTCTCGATTAGAAGAGTTAAAAATAAGGACACTTGAGAGGGATTTAAGCACAAAAACAGCGGAAACAGCCAGTAAACAGCACTTAGAGAGCATAAAGAGAGTTGTTAAACTTGAGGCTGAATGCCGTAGGTTAAAAAACATGGCTCGTAAAGTAACTTCATTTAATGACTCTAAGTCATTCAATGACAGCCAATCAGATAGTGGAGAAAGGTTAAATGAATGTGAGTTGAGCCGTTCAGATTCATGGTCATCTGCTCTTAAAATTGAGAAAGGCCCCTTGAAATCCCACATGCCCCCTTCATCTGAAATTGGTCTCATGGATGATTTCCTAGAGATGGAGAAGCTAGCAGCATTGCCGGAAAGTGAAAAAAGAAGCCGCTCTCTTGGACCTGCAACCTCGAGAGACAAACATAGTACAAATGATAGCTCCCCACTTAAATCGGAACTTGATGCCATGGTAGGTAGAATAGCTGAACTTGTGGAGAAGATTGAGATTGTTGAATCAGAAAAGGTACATTTAGCTTCGGCATTATCTCAATGCCAGAATAAGTTGAAGATTTCAGACGCTCAGCTGAGCTCATGTCAGAATCAACTAAAGATATCACAAGCACAGCTAAGAGAAACGAATAAAAAATTAGGAATGTTGCAGGCTGAGTTAGATTTGGCAAATGAATTGAGACAGGCAATTGATCTAGAGCTCGATGATGCCAATGTAAGAAGGGAAGAGGCCGAGTCCCAGCATAGAGCGATTGAGGATGAGAGAGAAATGCTGCTGTCTAAAGTCAGGTTTCTGGAGGGTGAGATTGAAAAAGAGAGGGCATTATACGCAGACTCTTCAGAAAAGTGTCGGGCTTTGGAAGATGAACTTTCTAGGATGAAGCATGATTACGACAAATGGCAAAGCCAGTTAGCATCTATGAATGAATCAAAGGAGGCAGCTGAGCAAGAGCTTTTGAGCACAACAGTAATGAAAGAAGCAGCGGAATCACAACTTAAAGATGTAAATTCTGAGGCTAAATCCTTGCTTGCTAAGATTGGTTCCTTGGAGAAAGAGGCTGAAAAGGAGAGACAGTTGTCAGCAGAGTTTAGTGGTAAGTGTAAATTGTTAGAGAATGAGCTTTCAAGAATGAAACATGATGCTGAAAGCTGGCGAAGTCAATTAGCTTCAGCGAATGGATCAAAAGAAGCAGCTAATCGAGAGCTTCAGATGACAAATGCAAAGAAAGAAGAAGCAGAGTCACAACTTAAAACCATACTTGCCAAAGTTGGTACATTAGAGCATGAGGTGGAAAAAGAGAGAGCAATGTCTGCCGAGTTTGCTGCTAAGTGTAGGAAGTTAGAACACGAACTTACAAAAATGAAGTCTGAAGCTGGCTGTCAGCTTTCACCAATCTCAAAAGATGAGTTGGATAAACAGCAGGTCAGTTTACTTGGTCTAAATTTATTCGAGTTTTTGATCATATACTAGTAGATGATTTAGCAGCAGGCTTATAAAACTTTGTTTTCAGTGTTTGTGGCTTTGAATGGGTAGATACATGCAGCTAGAAGTCGTCAAGTTGATGCAATCATAAACCTTCACATAATTATTTCGAGTTTATTCCTTTGAGAACTTAAATAAGTTGTTCAATCAATCCATAAGATGATCTTAGAATCTTTTAGATGAAAAACATAAGCTGGTGGTGATTTAAATTTGTTATCTCTTAATTGATCATAAAACTTGCTAGTATTTTATGCAAGCGTAAACTATGCTGATGAATGGGATGATATACACAATCAAAGTACTAAAAACAGCTATATTACTTACGACTGTTAAATGTTGATATGTATGACAGGAAAAGGAGCTAGCTGTTGCTGCGAATAAAATGGCTGAGTGTCAGAAGACAATTGCATCACTTGGAAATCAACTGAAGTCCCTCGCAGCACTTGAAGATCTCTTCTTGGATTCAGAGAAGCTATTGGAGGTCTCTGAAAAAGAGTCACCGCTTCAAAATGATGTAAAACCAGATACATTATCTTCTGATACTGCTCTTAATACTTCAACATTGAGCAAAGAGGATGACGCGAAGTTAGCAAAAGATGATGCTAAAGCTGGCATGTCATTAGACAGGCGGGACAAACATGGGCTTGGGAAGTTTTTTTCACGAACCAAAAGCACGATTAAAAGCTAGGAATTCACAAGAGTGAATTTGAAGAGGCGAAATAACCTCTTAGGTAGTGTTGACTTCAAGCCAGTGCCACGGATTAGTACATCATTACATTGTGTACAGGCAATTTATATAAACTTTTGTAACTTTGTTGATCCACATTTATGATTGGCAAAGTATAAAGAAAGTTTTGTACATCTCTATATTATTTTGGCTAATTAGCACGCCCTGGTAATTATAATACAAGTCAAGTTTTGCAGATGCAGCAATTCAGTTAAAACGTTTTGTTTAAAATGTGTTAGTATTTGCAGAAAATGAAACTTCCTGCCTGTCTTCTCCCTCAGAACTTGTATTCGAGGTTCAAAGACGTTTATTATTACTACTACTTCTGTGTCTATATTACGTACTTAGTATGTAGTACCTATAATGTAGAGATCAAAAAATAAATACCAAAGAACCAAGCTTTGCTGTAGGTTGTAATAATAGGTAGAGATCAAAAAATAAATACCAAAAATTGGGGTGAGAGAGGCTCGAACTCTCGACCTCAGGATTACTCAGAAGCTATGAGACCTACGCGCTAGCCAACTGCGCCACCACCCCATTTGTTTTAATCTTTGTTACTAAACTATATGATTTTATTTACAAATTACCACAAATAACAAACACCTCAAAAAAAAAAAAAAAAAAAAAAAAAAACCACTTTCTATATCTTGCTAATAAAACAGCAATTCACAAATCACCACCCCTTTTTACTTTTTTTTTTAATGTATCCATGCTAACGTATGGGATATAGTATGTCGTTACGAAAAAAATTAGTATAAGCGGAAGTTACATAAATGAAAGTTATAGGTTTTTTTTTAAAAGGAAAGTTTTTTTTTTTTTTTTTTAAGAATAATTTGGGATGTGGAAGTTATCTAATATATAATTTAAGAGTAAGTTAATGAGGTTTCTCTAAAACCTCAATTCTCAATTCTCATGCACTTTTTTTTAATTAACTATCCTCCAAATAATTAGGGGTTTGTTAAACATCGCCCACAAATTACTACATAAAGCCCACAAAATTCACTTGGTTTGACAATATTGCCCTTGACCTAAAAAAAAAACACTCACACTCTCATCACTCACACTCTCATCGCTCATCTTCTTTCAACCTCTCTACAAAAAAAAAAAAAATTCAAACAACGGCAATGTTGAGGCGGCAAGGCAAGGAATTGGCGGCGGCGGCGGAGGGAAGGAGGTCCCAAGGAGGCAAGGTACAATTTGTAAAAAAAAAAAAAAAAAAAAAAAAGGAAAAACCGCCGTGACGGAGGTGGGGCGCCCTGGCTGGACGCCCAGCCAGCGGTGGTGGCGCCAGCTGCAGACGCCGCCACCAGTAGGCTGGCGCCTGGGCTGGACGCCATAGCCACGGTTGTGGCGTTTATTCAAGGCGCCGCAGCCGTGGCTATGGCGTCCAGCCCAGGCGCCAGCCCACTGGTGGCGGCGTCTGCAGCTGGCGCCACCACCGCTGGCTGGGCGTCCAGCCAAGGCGCCCCCCCCTTTTTTTTTCTTTTTTTTTTCTTTTTTTTTATATTTGTTTTTTTTTTTTTTTTGTGTAATATCTTTTTGAATTGTTTTTATATTTTGTTGTTTATTTTTATAAATTTTTTCAATTTTGTTGTATTTTTTCTATGTTTATAAATGTTTACAATTATTTGTTTGTTTTTTTTGTACATTTTTATTTTTATTTTCTATTTTGATTTGTTTTTAAATTTTTTTTGTGACTTTGATATTGTTTTTAGTTAGTTAATTTATTTTAAATTTTATTATTGATATTGTTTTTGGTTAGTTAATTTATTTTAATTGGGAATGAATTATTTATGTTTATATATATTCTTCTGTGTTGGTTTTATTTCCTTTCTAAGTGTATTTTTTATTCTATTATTTTTATTTAAGTGTTTTGTTAATTTCTTTATTATGTTAATTTGTTAGTATGTTTTTAGTTTATTTGATTTGGGTAGTGGTAGCTATTTTTCGTATAAATTTTTGTATGTTTATATATTTTAAAATTTTGTGTAGAATTCACTGGGTCGTCATGGTGCGGGGAAGAATGTAGAGCTTCTTAGTAGAAGCTATTCAGTGGAGAGGTCGGGGCATAGACATGTCAGATCCCGTGGTATTTCGGCCTCAGCTCGTAGAGAACGGATCCACCGTCGGGATGAGGATGACGATGACGATGATGATGCTGAGGAGGGTGACCAGGAGGAGGAGCAGGAGGAGGGCGCAGATGAGGATGAGGATGTGGACGATGGCAGTGGACCGTATGATGATTACGGTCCATTCAGTCAGAGGGTTGATGACATGTACGAGACACATATGGTGGAGGTGCGTAAGGGTAGGGGTGGTAGGTTTGTTAGTAGATCTGGCACATCATCTGCGTCCACTATATCTGGGGCAAGCAGGAAACGGTCGAGGGCCGGTAATGATTCTTGGGTTGTTAGAAGTGAGGTGCCCGGTGGGCCTGTTGACGGGAGTGTGATTCCTAGCTTTCTAGGACACATAGTTGCCCGTATTTGGGAGGACCAGGAGAGGCCTTCAGTTACGGGGTTGTTGAAATGTCATACCCGGGAAAAGACTTGTAGCTTTTTGCGTACATGGGCTGAGGCTTGGCCGGCGGAGAGCGAGATGTTCGAGCGACTGGAGGGCACTGGGGTGAATCACGTTCCTGCCACCATGCACGATAAGATTGACAGTACGCTGATCACGGCTTTCATTGAGCGATGGCAGCCGGATACAAACTCTTTCCACCTTCCGTTCGGTGAGATGACGATCATGTTACATGACGTCGAGGCCATTCTGGGGATTCGTGTTGAGGGTAAACGACTTTGTGCTGTGGCTGATGCGGATCAGGCAGATTTGCTGGCGGAGTTGTTGGCGGTGGACAGGGCTGCAATGTACACCGAGGCGCTAGGTGTTTGGGAACACGGAGGTGTGAAGATCGCATCCGTGTTGCAGCGGTGTTTGTACCCCAGTGCACGTAGGACGCACGACGCACAGCTGAGTGCTTATGTTTTTCTACTCCTCGGATGTACCTTGTTTCCGGATAAGAGCGGCGGAAACAAGCTCAGGCCACGCGACATAGTAGAGGCGTGTGACCCCGACAGTGTAGGCCAGTTTTCCTGGGGATCGGCTACGTTGGCGTATTTGTATCGCCAACTAGGATTTGCGAGTCGGGCTGACGCGGCAGGTATCACTGGGTGTCTGACTCTATTGCAGACCTGGATATACGAGTACTTTCCTGCATTGCGACCACATCGTGACCCGGTTCCTATTGATGAGGGGATGCCGCGTGCTTGTGCGTGGAGTCCGCGCTCGGAGAAGAAGTCCGTTGACCGCCTCCGATCGATACGGTTATTGCTGGACAGGTTGTCCCCCTTAGAGGTAACGTTTATAAATTGTTTCTACATTTTATTATTTGCACATATTATATTCATGTTATTAAATTTTAAAACTATGTGCAGGTGAACTGGATGCCTTTCGGCCCGAACCCTAGTGTTAGGGTACCCAGGACCCTGTACACGGGACTCATTCAGTATCGTGAGATCGTCGAGGCGTACATGCCCCAGCGTTGTCTTCGCCAGCTTGGATTTGTCCAAGTTGTCCCTCCTCCCCCGGCATGCCCGATGAAGGCGGTCTTCGCCAGCTTGGATTTTATTTATAGAGCACTTTAAATATTATCGTTTTAATTTATTAAATTGGACATTATGTTGTAAGTTTGTAACATTTTAGATTGTTCTTTTAGCTTCCAACTTAAACATATTATCATTGCTGTTTTTAAATTTTGATATAACCGTTCGTGGATCCGCGCAACTTACCCATGCAACATATAGAATGCAGTAAGCAATACAATATAAAAGATTAATGTTCTCATTAAAAGAGCAACGTACAAATAAGATTACATAGGAAGAATGTAAACATGAAAAACTAAAATGCAGCTAGGGTGTTCCATTCGTGGATCCGGTCATGATATAGCGCATCCCAACCCACTACGCTCGCTGTGCGAATGTTGTACCACCGAGGTATAATCGGTGGCACTGGAAAATCGGATGACATGTCTAGTCGGATGAAATGTCTGTATGACGACCCAAGAAACGCAATAGCTAGCTCTCTGACCGGTGTGGTGACAGTCTCACGCGACCGCCAAGGGAGAACCGTGGTACAAGGATAATAAGCTTGACTATGCACTCCCAGGCCGAAATGCATGACTGCGCATTTGTAAATGTTTGCAACGGCAAACAGATCTAGGGGCGCGTCAAAATAATGATTTTGGCCGCAAGGTCCACCTCCCCACCGGATAGGTTCATCAGAATCAAACCAGAACAGGTAACCACGTGATTGTGCCTGGTGTAGCAGCTGCTGTATAGGGTTCCTTCCCTCTGACCGTTCAAACCTGAGTTGCTGTCTGACGTTGTAGATGTGTCTTCGGTTTGGATGGTCTTCTGGAAATATCTCTAACACAGATGCTAATATTTTAGCAGGCTTGACTTGAGCATCACTCATTTCTTTCACAACTACTTTCGCAGCAGGACTTAAGCCGCTCAGCTGTCGATGACCCTCTTCATATACTATCATCTCATGGTTGTGATACCCCCATTTAGAGTAACCAATCACTTCCCAACCGTCACGACTCCGTAGTTGTCGAACCTTTACTCTAAACTCACACCCACAACCTTTCCGCTTTGTATCAAACCGAGTGGCTGTACGAAAATCTCTGTCTTCTCTTTTGCGATAATGGTCACATCTTAAAATGCGATCCATTCTACCATCCCGTTGAGATTTATGAGTTACCACTACCAAGCAAAATCCAGCTGCAATTGCAACCTGTTTTGCCCAATCAATCGCCTGTTGAGCTTCTTCGAATGGACCATCATGTCCAAATATCCCACTGTAATCATTTCCGTCTCCACCATAATCCTGCATCAATTATATATTACAATAAATACATTTAACGGATAATACATTTAATTTCTATATTTACACAGAATTAACACAAAAAAAAGCATAATTATGTATAATCAAACTTAATTTTTATAAAAACCCAATTCGAATTTTCAAACTAAATTTAAAAATATACCATTTAGAATTTTCAAACTTAATTTTAAAAAAACCTATTTCGAATTTTCAAAATTAATTTAAAAAAAACCCATTTCGAATTTTTTTAAAAAATCATTTTCGATTTTTTTTTAAAAAAATAAATAAATAAATAAAAAACAACAACAAAATCAAAAAAGAAAAAAAAAATTAATTTATAAGGGTGGCGTCTGCCAGGGCTGCCACATCCACTGGACTGGCGCCTGGCAGGGCCGCCTCAGCCAGTAGAGTGGCGCCTGGCCAGGACGTCAGTCCGGTGGTTTGGGCGTTTAGGCTGGACGCCACTCTGGTGGTTTTGGCGTCTGGCTTGGACGTCCAGGCTACGGTTTGGGCGTCCATCCTAGGCGGAAGAGCCACTTCGACGGTAAACCGTGAATTTTAACGGTGACTTACCTCGTTTTCCGTCGACGACGACGTACCTCCGGCGTCCCCCGCATCTCCGGCCTGCCCTCCGATCTCCCCCGGCGAGCCAGTACGGCTCCACATTTTTTAAACCGAGATTATTTCAATTTTAGAAAATGGGCATAATGGTCACACCAAGTCATATTTGTGGGCTTTATATGGTAATTTGCGGGCGATGTTTAGCGATTCACAATAATTAACTTCCACCTCTTCCACTATTACTCTTTTTATTATGTTTCCTAATAAATCTCCAAATAACTTCCACTTTACTCTTTTTATTATTTTTCCTAATAATAACACATATACTATTTATTTTAGTCAATATTTAGAAAAAAATATGTATCTTATACCTCAACTAATAATTTGGTTTCAAGAAACCCCAATATTACAAGAAATCTATATTATTAATGCACATTTTTTCCTAACTTTTCCGCTTAACACTTGAAAATCAATCTTAAAATTATGTGTAGTTCATTTAAAATACAAAATAAAAATTAAAATACAACCACCATAATATCCACTATTGTCCTTTAAAAATAACAATTGTTTCTCTTTTAAATTTTCTAAATCACTATATAATCACCTTTTTAATGATTCAATAATTATCAAAATCAAAATATCATGATTTCAATTTGGTTGGCCACACCATGTGACTGACTTACACCCACTAAACACTAACCAGGTACCCCCAATCGGAGTAATTTCTGACCGAATAATCCCTACCCGACCGAGTAATCCTTGACTAAGTAACTCTTGACCGAGTAACCCTCGAGTCCTTGGCTGAGTAACCCTTGACTGATCGAATATCCCCCGACCGATTAACCTCTGATTGACTGAGTAACTCCTAATTGGACTAAAAAATGTATACATCATGTTTTCTACCCATCCAAATAATTTTGGTTCTTTAATTTAATTTAATTAATTAATTAATTTATCTTTTTTTTTCAAGGAATTCCAATAATTATAAATATTTCACTTTGTGTTGTTTTCCTTCGCGTATAATATAATCCGTGCATTAACACGGGTATACACATTGACTGATATTTCTAAAAAATGTTCAATAACTACCTTATTATTAATCTAATAATCATCTAAAAAAAATATACAATATGTTTCAGTGTAGCTATTTGCAAAATATATAACGAAGTAACTCAAATAACACCGACATAATAACCCTTATAACACTAACACAGTTACCTCTATAACACTGAATAGATAACCCCTTTAAAACTAATAAAATAACTCCCCGTATTTGAATATAACTTTTGTTATTAGATTTTTTTGCAATATGATTCTATAAATATATATCCCGTGCATTGCACGGGTACACCCTAGTTTTCTTAAATATACGAGAGAGAGAGAGAGAGAGAGAGAGAGAGAGAGTTGAGAGTTGGGGATTTAGAGTGTTGCGATGAAGTTTTGTAAACACGACTCTTAAATTATATAAAAGATTATTGAATTGAGATAATTTCTAAAGACTTGCCTAATCGAGGATTTTTCATATATTCACAGTGTGATATAAACTACTTGTAGAAAATTAGAGTGTCCTTATTACAAAAATTTCAGGTAACATCCTTCATAACAATTAACTAGGACACTATGAGTCTATGATAACTAATTCTAGACAAAATGAATATCTAGTTCTTTGTTTGCTCGATGACCAATAAAGGTAGGACTCCGTCGTAGGAATGAGAAAATTTTGATACAAAAGCCACAATTTTCAGCATTAACATTACTTCTACAGAAATATCAAATTCACATCAGTTTTCGCTACAAATAATTTATATGGAAAAAGATAAAACAGCATTAGCCCATAAAACACACATTAGCAATCCCCCACTCTTCAAAGGAAAATAGCCAGACCAAGCAAATGCAACGCTCAGCATTAGCATTCGACATGTACACTTCAAATACAGCAGTAGGGGCAGCTTCTAGTAAAACACGGTGCAGTGCTAATCAAGGTTCAATTTCAATATGCAAATGACGTTCTCTTCATCATTCTCAAAAACTCCTCAACATTGACCTCGCCATCACCTGTATGATTCAGAGGCCACTATATGGTTAGAAAATAAGCACTCTTTTTTTAACACCAGAAATAAGGAAAGTAATCACATTGAATTTAGCTCAGTGTGTTTTTAGCTAACCTACATATATAAATATATTAAGTTGTCTAAATTGAGCATTTTTAACTTCCTGGATCAAAGTAAAGACTATAGAATTGATGATCTTTTAACTTCCTTCTAAAGGATGGCTAGTACAAGATGCTCAACAGCAGAGTTTAGTTTTAAATTACACATCATTACGGGTATTTAAAGAACTTTAACACACAATTTCTGATTCTGAAGAGCTCAATCATATAGAGATGGGAAGTATCAAGTATAAAGGAGGAAGCTTACGGTCTCGGTCTGCTTCTTCAACCATATCTTGGATATCCTTCACAGTGAAGTTTTCACCCAATTCCTTTGCAACACGTTGAATATCTTCAGGAGAAATCTTTCCCTACACCACCAACCATGGTCTAAATATCTCCCTTATGAGTTATGACTGAAAAAATAACAATAAATGAAGAATAGCTAAACTTTACATTGTTGTCTTGGTCGATTATACGGAACGCTTTCATTAATTCTTCCTTAGTGTCTCTTTCTCCCATTTTAGCAGTCATCATGTGACAAAATTCATCAAAATCGATGGCACCACTTCCATCCTTATCAACATCCGCAATCATTTGATTGATTTGCTGAAATAAGACAAAAGGTCAAGCCCAGCTCATAACAGAAACCCTAACCCCTACAACCAATTGCCCTTCCCATATTTGATTGCAAACCAGAGGAAAGTTTTGTAAACATATATCTACAAAAGGATGCCTTAAAAGACAATAAAAAGTCATTTTCTGGTGGGGGGGGGGGGATGTGTGGAAACTACGAGAGATGCCAGATATACTGTAGTTTGTTGATGGTATCATTGAATAAGCACAGAGAAAAGATACATTTTCAAGTGCCAAAATTATCATACATGAGAACGCTGTCTTTAAATTAGACATTAGCATGGAACATGACATTAATGAACCATATGCCTCATGTTAAAATACTTTATCTTCGTTTCCAGTTGTAAATTCATAAACGCTATTCTAAGTTGACTTGTTTGCTAATTCTTGAATGAATTCTCATTTCAAATTTATTTGTGAGTATATAGACACATAACTTCCTCTTCACTATCTCTCACCTGTATTATTTCATATCTACGAATATGTGGTTCAAGATAATTAAGGTGCCTAGGTAAATAATGATGTGTTAGGTAAGGAGTCTATAACCTTGTTCGAGTGTATGTGTCCACATGGGTAATTGAGATAAAATGAAGATTGCAAAGAACATAAATCATCTTAGTGCAAGCATTCAGAAGAAATGATACAATCATAATCAATGCATAACCAAAAATTACAGATTAATACCTCTTCAGTCATCTCAAAACCCAGAGCCCTGCAACCACACAGTTTTAAATCAGGTAATTGAAAAGTAGAAAATTAATACCTCTGGGTTTACAAAGAACAATACCTCATAGCAACATTCAACTCCTTAGCATCAATATTCCCTATAAAATTTAAATGGAACAAATCAGGTGAGAGTGAAATAGATGCATTACCATACAAAACTTAAAAACACTAGATAGGTTCAAAACCTGAGCCATCAGTGTCAAACAGATCAAAAGCTTCCTTAATCTCTTGCCTCTTTTGTTGAGTGAGACCATGATGACGCCCACGTGGCTTGTCTTTCCTCACTGTTCTAGCACTTGACTAATAATATGATTACCAGATCCAGAAAATCAAAGTCAACAAACTTCACTAAAACAAAAAATTCCCAAAAAAAAAAAAAAAAAAAAAAAAAAACCACATCATGGCATCAGCATCAGACAAATTATTTCACTACTTGGAGTACACCATAGTAACTCAATTCCTACCCAAACCGTTTCTCATAATAAAGACAGACAAACATAGGTATCAATTCTTACATACTGACAACTAATCAGAATAAATACCGATACAACCATGGAGAAAGCATATACCGAATAGAAACTCATCAGAATACTATAGAAGTTTATTAACTACCAAAAACTATCCACTTAAGGGTTACAAATACCCGAGCCCTCCCTCATACAAAAAAGGGAACATTGATAGAGGGAACTTCTCAGTTTAAAGTAAAACTTAGTTGGTTCTAAGTTGTTCCTAGTTGGTACACATGTAATACCAAAAATAATTCTATTAATACCATAAAATAAAATAAGCATTCTTAGTTAGCAACAAAAATAAGTATTTTGGTACAAAATGCTTACAAAGTAAGAACACTATCGTACCATCTGCATTTTACTATAAACTGAGAATATTGGATGCAAAACTGATAACAAAGTCAGAAACAGCAGAATTAACAAGCAATGAAAAATGGAGAATCTTTATGCCTTCTAATTTTCATCAAATCATCACATGATCCAAAACAATAATTCTTTCATGTAAAATCTCAATGAGCTCAATTCAAGATATACCCTTAAGAAAATCAATTGATCTAAAACGCACCAATGACCCGAAAATTCACAATCCTTCAGCTTTGGAAAAAATGGAAGAAATTATGGTGACTTATCAAGTTCATTGTTGTCTTTCGGGATAATGGAACAAATATCTTCTTCAGCTCGGCCCTCCATTAATTGGTGCATAGGTGGGAGTCTATTTCGAAACATTAGGGGCAATTTATTGTTCATATTGGGACTAACAAGCCTATATTATAAACACATAAGTTCATAGCACAGAATAACTCCCAATTTCCATAAAACTTATTCAAACTCCATCATACACTATTCATTCTAACCTGCAATTGATTTATCCAGAGATCAAACCTCTACCCAATAAAAAAGATTCTAAATTTCCTCAATCCATCATCAAATAAAGCCCCAAATCAAAATCCCAGTATATTTAACATCAAAAGAGCTCAATTATCTTCCAATTTGGTGGCTAATCATGCTTTAATCATCTGGGTATTTATCCCAAATCCCTAATTATACTCAAACAAAAAACTAAATTCAAGAACCATGATTTCTTCAATCCCAGACCCTAAAGTCTCAATTTTTATTTATTCTAAATTTGTGGGAAATTAAATTAAATTATACTATTAAATTAAAATGAAAACATGTTGGTTTGAATTTCATAGAAATCTTACTCATCAAATAGACTAATTACACAGGGTATGATGATAAAAATAAGCCAAAAAAGGGAAATTGAAGAAGAAAAAAAAAAAAAAGGGAAGAAATTTAACAACGATTAATTCATATAAAAAGGGGAAAAAAAGGAGACGCACCATTGTGATGAAATTGCTAAGAGATCTTGTGAGAGAGTGAGTAGAATGGAAGAAAGATTGATTGTAACTTTGTAAGCAGTCTTTTCTTGACGTTTCTCACTTTCTTGACAAAAGATTATGAATTCGAAAGAAGGGAGTTGTGGAATTATAAAGTTTTTACTTTTTTTTTTTTTTTTGGTTGGACATGTAAGAATGTACGAGTAACTATGTAAATTCTAGTTTTTTGTTCACTTGGTGAGGGAATTTTGGAGTATAAATTTAAAGGTTTCTTGATGTTTAAAATATTGAATCATGATAAAAGAATGATTTTGTCAGAATTAAATTTAGAATGACTTGAATTTAAATTAATTCATATAAACAAGTTGACACAATCACACAAATACAAATAAAAACTATTCAAATGTGATATAACTTGTAAGTCGTATAAATAGGATTTTTGTTAAAAGATGTTTGACAAAAAAGAAATACTACGTATTTGAGCACAAAAAAATAAAAATGTTTGAATAGGTGGGTTGGGGAAGGATTGAATAAGAAGTTCAAGTTACAATATAGCTATCAACTGACCATTTGTTCCATAATACCAAAATATATCAATAAATCTTTATCAAATTAGATAACATAACTAGTAACACACATCTAACATGAACATGATTTGACCGATGTTCTAACATTTTTCTTCATGACAATAAAATATTTTCAAGTGATACTTCGTATATGTTGCAATATAGAATCAATTATGAGATTCACTCTTGTTTTTTTGTACAATTCAAGGTAAAAACTATAATTTAAGTTATAATTTATTTTTATAAAGTGAGTTTTTTTTTATGTTCAAAACAAAACCACTACTTGAAGTAGAGATTGTTATGAGTCATTGAAGATCAAGCCAAATTCTGCATACTCCTACTTTGTATACTCTTTGTTTCTTTAATGTTATCAATTGCACCATGATTATATTTTAGAGGACTTCAGGTACAATAGTGCCTTTGTCTCGAGTTTAAAATATCATAGGGGAAAAGGGTAAGTTCACATGAATTAGTTGTTGATAGATATAAAGTATATGCTATATATTGTAAGCAAAATAAAATTTCTTTAAGCAAAAAGAAGATTATCTTACAATAAAACTGCTTTTGAACATTGCAACTCCAATCTACTATGTTTGGAGTAGCCGAGTTGGATTACCCCCTTAAATTATGATTGTGATTTGCTAGATAAACAATGTGTCAATAGCACAATATAGACCTTATAAATCTAAAATACTTGTGGCTCCTTGAGACATTTAGGCACAAATACTCGTGAACATGACAAACAAGTGAATATATTACGGGGTAATGTTTTAGGTTCAAGTTCTACCATACTCATATATTTATTACGGAGTAACTGTAAATCATTGTAGCTGTATTTTTTATCAACCGTCGAGTGTTACAAAATAAAATCATGATTCATGACTTCCAACTTTCATTATGTTGGGCACAGTAGATCTGGAGATTGTTCAAAGCATAACATAAATAATGCAAGCCAAACAGATTGTATTAAATTGAACATATTACAGTTTCACCTATAATCACTAAACAAATAAGCTCAATCATATTTTAACAGTAATTAAATACGGAGTATAGCCTTGCGATACAGTTTGTCTTTTCATCTCTGACGTGCGGCAGTATATCTGGAGATCAGACATTCAGACACCCCTTTAATATATACCAAATCTAATTTACATTGCTCTCCATAATGGTCAGTTCTGATCATATTGATTTGAACAGATCATAGAAAACTGCTGGCTTCTTGTAGTCTAAAATGCACAAAACCTGATGAAACAAATAAAGTTAGTATACATCAGAAACAGCGGGAAGCTAATACAATTTTTCATCATTTAAACAAGTACAGCAGCAAGTTGTCACATTCCCAAGTTGAAATACATATGATAAATTCCAAGCATAACCCCATCTAAATGCAGAGGTCGAGAGAAAATGGTAAGGATTATAAAGGTGTTTCAGTAAAATAATGGTCATAACTTTCTTATGAAAGGGTAGAGACGACACTGTGACGATTACTTCATGACAAGGGAGAATGTCTATTTGATTGACACTAGCATTTCGAGAAAATATAACAGTTTGTTAAAGAAGCTTCTTAGAAACAGGAAGGTTTACCTGGACTGCAGATGCTATGTGAATTAATGTTGCTTCAGCCCATGGTTTTCCGATAAATTGCAGGCCAATAGGCAATCCTTCTGCATCATATCCAATCTAGAACAGTAATTGAAAATTGTTAGCTAAGACTGAAAGGATTGACCACAGTTTCACTTTCAAGCAGTGAATGTAAAAGGGTAAAAAACAAAATAAAAATTATACTCACCGGTACAGTAACTGCAGGAAGGCCAAGAAAATTTCCTGCTATTTGATAGCGTACCAGTGCAGCTGGAAAAAACAAAGTATATTGAAGATGACTTATTTACGTTCATTACAAAGTATGCCTGAGGATCTAAAGCTTCAAACACTTGGAAGATACAGAAGTGCTTTAACATATGTACCTCCATTTATGTAATCAAGTTCACCGGTTTTTAAAGCATCATCCTTGATCAGGTAAGCAGTAACACTGGCATAACATTGGGACACATTACTGTAGCTGATGGTACTATATAAACTAACTTCTAAAAAAGAAATAAATTGTTTTGACATATGAGGTAGCAAACCATTAATGATCACAGATAGAAAAAGGTACTCAATTTGGCATTAGACACATCTGTGACCAAGGCCCAAAACATTAATGAGAGAGTAGGATGCATAGCAAAACAATACCCAGTTGTCGGAGTAACAATAACATCTGCTTTTGAAAATATTTTGTTATGTAAAAGCATCTGTCGGTGCCTGCAGACAAATGACAGAAGATAAGTTACACCGAGTCGACACTAATCCCCTCCCCCCACAACCTCTTCCCCCCAAAGAAAAAGAAACCTACTGCATATGTTCAAGCATAAAAAGATTTAAAGCATAGAATTAGGGAAACCACAAGTGAGGAGTATTTGGATTGCAACAACAAAACAAAATTAGTAGATATAGTTCATGTGCTTTGTGTTCAGAAATCACTTCATTGGCAGGAGCAGGAGTACAGAAGAATGTAAATTTAACATGTACAAGACACATTTATTCTTCATCTGTGAACAGGTAATCCCACCACATTTGTTCAGACCATTTATAGACATTAAGCCAAATGCACAAGAATCACCTGATTTTTTGAGATTTAATATACTCCATGCCATTGAAGGCACCATAAATAGAAAGTGCCACTCGTACATCCCATCCAATTTCCGAGGAGTTCCTACTACATTACAAAAGGAGCTAGTGAGCCAAGCATATTAATCTGAAGAACACTTGACAAAAAAAAAGGTGCTGGCATGGCATAACTTACAGTTTCTGCCGAAGATGGTCAAGTGCAGCAGTACACTCAGAACCAATTGTTGTATAGTGTGCTAGTCGCATTGTTTCTATATCTGGTATTGTCACCTCTACAGTCTAGGAAAATAAAGGAAACTTAATTTAACAGGACCATATTGAAAATTTTCAACCCATTCCATTCTTTCCTACTAAAATTCTTGAATTCGTGGTGGGTCTTTGTTATATAAAGGTCTCCAGCATACAAAAGTAACCACTAGGTTATATATAGCATATCATTCACAGAATGGCAGGGAATGAATCCATTACCTCCCATCCATAACATTTTCGAAGTTTATCAAGAGCGTGGGAGCAACAAAGCTTGATATCAGAGTGACAGCCATCGAACCACTATGCCAGGAGAATTAAACAAAGAAGTTAAAGAATCATTAGAATGGTTGACTGTGAAAGGATTCTACAGAAAAATTTATTTGATGTGTAGCACATAGAAGGTCAGATGAACTACAAACCTTTCCATATCTCGCCATTTTGATATCACCAATTGATGTCTTTGGTCTCAGCAGAGGCAATTTCACTTTAGGCTGGTAAGATCACAACATCACGTCTACAATCAACATATAATCCATACTATTGTGCATCAACAAGTGCTCAAAGGACAAAAATGGCAATACCAATACCAATATACAGCATTTTACATTGTTATTTGAGAGAAAGAAATGAAGATTAGAGGGGTAACTTTTCTCTATCAAGCAACAGATCGACTTGATAAGCTTAGAATAAAAGGCAACTTTCACTGTCAAACAAGGTTAGCATCAGCCTCTTTCTAAGTTTCTATTAGAAATTTTACGGGACAATTCTTATAAGAAGAAGATCAAACCTAGATAAAGGAAAAATATACATTGCAGATTGCGTTTCTAGAAAGTGAGCAAAAGGAGCAGAAAACACTAATACTGAAGTAAAACCACTGAGCCATTTTGTGTTATTTGAGGGCCTTCCACTAAAACTAACATAATGCTATTATGTCATTAGGAAAACATATTATATTCTTAGGTTAGGTAAACTATTGATCAAATTCTTCTCACATACAACCATAAATTCAAAATAAACTATGTGTGGGGATGCAATGGGTGTGTTGGTTGCTTTTTTTTTTTTTTTTTTTTGTTTTTGTTTTTTGTTCACACTTACATGTGCAGCTTAGAAGGTAAAAAGAAAATCCCTGTAGCAGTTAGTGTTAATGGATATTATCTAGGTTAATGGTTGGAGAGGAATGCCAAAATACAATGCTATACAAACTCTTAATAATAGTTTTGTGGAGCAGGCTTGTATATTTAGCATCCCTTGGAGCTTGAAGTGGTGGAGCCATTTAATGGTGGCTAAGTTTTTCCCTTTTTTTTTGGTTAAAAAGTTTATCCTTTCTTGGTGAAGCATGATTGTCATACTCTTATATTGACAATCTCCTACAAAGCAATTCTAGTCCTTCACTGATTTCTCTTCCTCTTCAAAAATTTCATGGCGAAAAAACTTTATGCTGGATTGTGTATTACACTGAAGTGTGAAATGTATTCTTGTAACTTATACTTATCTTATGAGTTAAAGCAACATTACCGCCAAAAATGTAGGCTGCTCTGAGAGGAGTTGACCACTAATAGCTGCATAACTGAAATCAAAGCCCATGATTATTAGCGATATTAGCCCATATGAAGAGATTAAGTACTTGAGAACGTAGCAAAGGAATGCTTACGTTATTAAAGCATCTTCA